TTTCAAAGTTTGCATGTTTAAGATAGGATTCAATTAAGAGTTGTCAGGACCCCCCTGAATAATGGGACTTAGCTTTAAGATTTCAATTAGATAACAATATTTAGCGTACATTCTAGTGTAGGGTAATATAATTTAGCCGTAAGATTGTCACTTTTAAGATAATGTTTGATTTTTAATTTTCAGGACCCTCCTGGATAATGGGATTTAGTTTTAAAGTTTCCAGGACCCTCCTGGATTATGAGATTTAATTTTAAAATTTCAGGACCCTCTTGGATAATGGGATTTAGTTTTTAAGTTTTCAGGACCCCCTGGATAATGAGATTTAATTTTAAAATTTTCAGGGCCCTCCTGGATAATGGGATTTAATTTTAAATTTTCAGGACCCTCCTGGATAATGGAATTTAATTTCAAAATTTCAGCACCCTCCTGGATAATGGGATTTAGTTTTAAGTTTTCAGGACCCTCCTGGATAATGGGATTTAGTTTTTTTTAAGTTTTCAGGACCCTCCTAGATAATGGGATTTAGTTTTTAAATTTTCAGGACCCTCCTAGATAATGGAATTTAATTTAAAATTTTTAGGGCCCTCCTGGATAATGAGATTTAGCTTTCAGATCCATAGAGATATTTGGCAACATGTCAATTAACACTCACAGATGTGCCCAGCCACCAAACTAGGGCAGAAGTTTTCTTTGTCTTTGTCTATTTTTGTTGAAATCAGGTGTCCACCTGGAGAACAAGAGAATACATTCAAGTTCAGCAATCAGGCGCCCACCTGGAGAACAAGGGAATACATTCAAGTTTCAGCAATCAGGTGCCCACCTGCAGAACAAGGGAATACATTCAAGTTTCAGCAATCGGGCGCACACCTGGAAAACAAGGGAATATAGTTTTAAGTTCAGCAATCAGGCATCCACCTGGAGAACAAGGGAATACATTCAAGTTTCAGCAATCAGGCGCCCACCTGGAAAAAAAGGGAATACAATTTTAAGTTCAGCAATCAGGCGCCCACCTGGAGAACAAGGGAATACATTCAAGTTCAGCAATCAGGCGCCCACCTGGAGAACAAGGGAATACATTCAAGTTCAGCAATCAGGCGCCCACCTGGAAAACAATGGAATACATTTCAAGTTTAGCAATCAGACGCCCACCTGGAGAACAAGGGAATATATTTTTCAAGTTCAGTAATCAGTCCCACCTGGAGAACAAGGGAATACATTTCAAGTTCAGCAGTCAGGCGCCCACCTGGAAAACAAGGGAGTATAGTTCAAGTTTCAGTTTTCAAGTTCTTACTGATATTTGGTAGCATGCCAAACTGGGGCAGAAGTTTTCTTTGTTTTTGTCTATTTTGTTGAAATCAGGCGCCCACCTGGAGAACAAGGGAATACATTTCAAGAAATCAGGCGCCCACCTAGAGAACAAGGGAATACACTTCAAATTCAGCAATCAGGCGCCCACCTGGAGAGCAAGAGAATACACTTCAAATTTAGCAATCAGGCACCCACCCGTAGAACAAGGGATACATTCAAATTTCAGCAACCAGGCGTCCACCTAGAGGAAGGAAGGACATCTCAGATTACAATTCAAGACGGCAACAAGGGGATTCCACCAGGAGAATACCAGCCAACAAGGCAATAAGAACCACAAGAGCAAGTCTGAAGATATAGATAGGATTTTGTAATACATAGATCATAGTCTAGTCTAGCTTCTTTTCATTTTATCATGGTGTAATAAGGGGGGTCAGTAAGCAGTAGCAGCAACAACATCAACAGTGAAATCACAGCTTCATGGTAGTCCCAGCTACCAAAATTTCCCGAACTACACTGACCTGATTCCTTTATAGCCAAGGATATGTAGGCAACCTCGGAAGCAGGGTGTAGTCAAACCTTTCAAAATGCTTCCCACGGAGTATTCAAACGGGCAAAAATCGCTCGTATCCGCTCACTTTATCTTTGCACGAAAACTCTTCGTGTTTTCGGGCAAAGAGGGGCAGTTGTGAGCACGTGATTTTTGCCCTATATGAATTATTCCCATAAATTCAAAACAAAATAATTTCTTTCAGTGTTTGCAATTTTGGGGATTTTTGTGGCATTTTCTATTAATTGTTTGCACTTTAATTAGTGAAAAATACAGAAATAGTGTATTTGCATTTAGGACCCAATTTTATATTTTTTTTAGGATAATTAGTTATTTAATGTTACAAAAATGAAGGAAAATCACAAAAAATAGTTCACTTTGCATTTTTACTTTTCGAATTTGTCATAGTTTTCTTTTAAATTAGGACTTAATTAATTTTAGAGGAAACAATTAGTTTAGTTTTGGAATTAAATCAGGTTTTCTATTTTAATTTGTATTTTATAAAAACGGAAAAAAATATTTTAATTTGTATTTTTTAATTTCAACTTTTATTTTTTGAGTAGTTCTTCTTTTAAATTTATTCTTTTAATTAATCTTGTTAATTATCATTTAGTTATAATTAGTGTTTTGAGAGGTTAATTAGGTTTTAGGATTTAATTTAGATGTTAATTTTGGAAAAAGAAGAAAAAGGATTTTTGGAAAAAACTGAAAAGAATTAAAAGGAGAAGAAAGCTGAAAGTTTGGGTTTTTCTTAATTCTAATCTCCCAAGCCCAACTAATTTTTGCCTAAATTACCCCAGACCCGGCCCATACGCCCTCCAAACCCGACCCAGCTTCAGTTACACACACAAAAATACAGAGCCCTAATCTGTCAAGAGCACAAACGACGCTCACTGTTCCTCCATCGTTCTCACTCGAACCAAGCCCCAAATTCAATCCAAATTTGGGCGAGTGAATCCCAAATCCTTAACCCACGCGTCCCTCCTTCTCTCATCTTACTGTTGCTAATGGTTTCTGACGCAAGATTCCCCTCCCCTCTCACTTTCTCGAATTCGAGTTGTATCATACGATTGGAAGGTTCTGAAGATGAGATGCTGGATGAGTGTGAGGCGTTGGATTGATTTCACTCAATCCGAGCCCCATATTCATCAAGGATTCTTCAAAAGAAGCCTGATCCGATTTTGTGAAAGGGGGACTCTGGTAAAAATAATTCGAAAAGAAAAAGGCGGAAAGGCTTCTTGAACGGATGGTTTTCGGAGTCTATTTTCTTCTTTGAAAAATTCTTTCAAAGTTTAAGAGAAACATATATACAATTTCTTTTACTTTTCTGAATCGGGATTTGAGGTCCAAGGAGATAACAATTGAAGTTCAAGCTTGGTTTTCTACTGTCATCCTGCTGACTCGCTAGTGAACCTCGCTAGGATTTGGAGTCGAGAAGTGTATTGTCGAGTCCATAATTGTTATAAAAGAGATTTGCAACTTCAGGTTCAATTTTCCTCTCTTTATTTCTATGCGACTCTGTTTTGTTTCAGTGTTTTTGAGCTATGAGATTCAGTCTAGAGTGGTTTATTCTGTGTTATGATCGAATTTCTTGCTGACTGAATCTATTCCCGGTGGTGGTATGTGTTTGAGTATATATAGTCAATGAGAGTCGATTTGAGTAATCATCTTCCACCTCCTGTATGTCGTGATTGTTATTCGGGCTCGAGGTATATTCTGAGTTAAATTTCATCATGTTCAGTTGAACGATATGTGCAGTTTCTTCTGGTGAGATTCCTTTGCAATATGCTCTGATGTTCATGATGAATTGCTTGAGCCATAAGTTCAGGGAGTTAACTAATAGTTCTGTAGATGTTATACTGGAAATGTGTGGTCGACCTAGAATGATTTTCACTGTTAGCTATGGTGTTTTGATTGAGGATTCAGCACACAACTAGTTAATGGTTGTACTAAAGCTGACCTCAAATCAATTGGTTCAAGTATACTCGCAGTAGAGTTGTTGGAAGTCTTCTATGTGCTAATTGTTAAACTATAGCTTTGTACATGTTTAGTTTCCTTCATAAGCAACAAGAGGTTGATTTGAGTAAGATGAGTAAAAATCAGTAGTAAATTATGAGTTTACGTTAAATTTTTGAACCAAGTTATGTTGCCTTGATTGAGTTTTCCTAAAATTTTGTTCACCCTTACCTTGGTCTCATAGTTTAAACAGTTTAGTCGATTGTATTTCAGATCTTATTTCAGTTTCATGGTTACTATGGTTGTCATGGTTCATTAGTCGAGTCAGTACATATGTTGAATGTTTTTTTTTTGGTTAATGAGAATCCTGTTATGTTGCTCTCTGAATCGGGATCTTTGGTTGATGTTTCTACTGACTTGATCTTAGTATGCCCCTTTGAGAGTTTTGAAATGAAATTATTAGCCTAAAAGTTTAATAGGCGTGAGGTCTTGGTTGAGTACATGCTTTGGTATGAACTGTGTTGAACCACTAGAGTATCTGTGGTTTGTTCTATTTTCCCTGTAAGCTGAAGGAAATGGTTAGCAAATTCTCTGTTTATAATATTGCGTTGCTCATAGCTGATTGAAGTAACTCACTACTCGATGTAATTAGGATCGAAGTTGCTCATAGTATGTCATGGAGACTTCAAAAGTTAAAGTTTGTTTTGGTTAGCAGTAGCTTATCCCGTTTCTATTGAAGACTTACCTTGATAATGTGTATGCATAATGATAAATGCATTTTAGCTAAGGTTTTGGACATCAGCTGGCACCTTGCCTCCCAGCTCTTTTAACTGTTTTTTCAGATTCTGCTTGTTTCTTTGTGTCCATGGAGTCCCTCTTATCCTTGTCCTCTTTAGCAAACTTCTCAGCTTCATGAACTATTCTATCAACCTAAAAAAAACAGTTCACCAAAAGGTGGATGGTAAGTATGCTATAGGGATGATTAATGACCACTTATGTCTTGTGAAAGTATATGATTACGGATGATGTGCTGAAGTTCAAAGTCATGCCACAACTTATATTCACACAGATTCTGTAATGCAACTCAATATTCACATCCAAAACTAAAGTGCAATAGTTATAGCCCTCATAGTGTAGCTTGGAAACCTCTTGTTAGAATAACTCGATGTGTGCCATGTCAAACAAGAATTTCAATTGCATGGCCCTCGTTTTAATTAGTTTGATTTAATCTTTAGACATCGAGGCGTGCCATTTAGCAAATTTCCATGGCCCTCGCAAAGTTAACAACGCATAGCCGCTTTTAGGCACGTTATTTAATAATGTACATTCCTAAACTCGGGTGCGCATTTATGTGACCCAAATCCAAATCTCAACGATGTTAAAATATGTCGAAGACCATGGGTGCATTTATGCGACGTGGTTCAAGACATGTTTTAACAACGTTGCAATATTTTTAAAATGACTAAAAGCAGTTAAAGTTAAAACTGAACCATAGGTTCATAATTGTTTAAAATCAGACAATTAAGCCGAATATAACATTTGAGCGACCGTGCTAGAACTACGAAATTCGGGAATGCCTAACACCCTCTCCCGGGTTAACAGAATTCCTTACCCGGATTTCTATGTTCGCGGACTGTTAAACATAGTCAAGCTTTTCCTTGATTCGGGATTCAACCGGTGACTTGGGACATCATAAATCTCCCAAATGGCAACTCTGAATCTTTTAATAATAAATCCCATTTTGATTGTCCTTTATTGAAAAAACTCCTTTATACCCTTCCCGGGGGTGTAGTGAAAAAGGAGGTGTGACAACCACTAAGCAACTTTTAGATTACAACCTATGCAACCTAAGAATTAACCTCTTAATCCCTCACTAACTTGTAACATACCTATTACAAGCCATTTTATAATACCTCTATTACAAAGACTTCACAACTTGACTAACTCTAGCCAAGACATAAATACGAGGGTTTATGATTGACAAGAGTTTCCTACACACTGCTTATAAGTAAGATAATTAAGAGTTACAAGTAAGAACATTAACAAAGGTACAACTCAACTAAGGACATACAATTACTTGATATGACAAAACTGGTCTATAGTAGTGTTGTTCTTTGTTCTTGATACACTTGAGAATTGTTGATCAGAAGCTTAATCACTGTTGAAGTGCTTGAGTGAATTTTATAAGTGTTCAAGTGATTTTTGTTTTACCTTCCTTGATGTTAATAATACATGTGTGACATCACTTGCAATGATGTAATCAAGGTAGGTAAAAAGCATTTCTCATAAAGCTGACTTCTGCACTTTTCCTGTACTAGCGTGTGCAGGCAACAACTTTTCTAGCTGGAGAATTGACTTCGTATAGTTACCTCGGGAGCTGGTAACGACCTGTTTCCTTAGTTGTTCCTTCAACTCTTGAAGAGTTGAACCATATCCCAAGCTGGAACCTTTTGATATTAAGGTCTTGCGAATGTGTAATAAGTTCCTTATCTGGTTATTGATAGTAAATTTGTTAGATCATCAAAATATAAAACAAGGTACTTGTAACCTATTAGTTTGGTTAAAAAAAAAAAAAAAAACTTGAAAGGCAAATTGTTCGATGTTGTTGAGCTAGACTGTTGAAGAAGACAAAGTCGTCTATTGATTTTTGAAGGTTTGGGTTGAATCTAACTAGTTAAAATTGGTATAAGAATTTTAAAGAATTCCTATTCACATTTCAATATTGCTAAAATCTGAAGGAGATTTTCAGAGAGTAACCCTAAATTCATATCTATGATTTTTATGTAACTCTTTGTAAATGGGCTACATAGAGGTTTGTAGATGTTCGTTAAACCTCTTATATGATTGTGATTATCAGAATAAAATTTAAGTTTGCCCTCTTCGGAGGGAGGGAGGCCCTTAACTCTAAAATTTTCATATTACAATTTGTTTCGCCTGACGTATCAGACAATAATTATTACAAAGGCTTTATGGTAATTTTAGCACTCCTATTTGACCAGTCTTCTAAAATATTTTTTTTTTGTTGTAAAAAGAAAAAAATTATATTACCAAAAACTTGTGGAGTTACGGAATCAAGTAGAAGTTGACCATCTACTATCCTAACTATGTATTGCTAGCACTAGCTTACAAAATTATAAACTAGACTTCTCAACAAGCATAAAATTTAGGGATCGTTTGGTAGGAAGTATAAGAATAATATTGAATATGATTTATTAGTAATGTTGCGATTAGTTATATTGACATTAGTTATGGTGAGATTATTCTTATGTACTATTTGGTTTGGTGTAGTTGTTACACCCCACGATTTCGTACGTAAGAGTACGTCGTAAGTCAATTGATGTAAGCTCAAAAATGAAATCATCTTTGAAAAAGTTTACAAAGTAAGTTCATCATGTTAACGTGGAGGTTACAAATATTTAAGATCATGAATACCAAGTACCAAGAGGGTTTGAAGGCTTAGAAGCTAAACGAATTAAAGAAAATAAGTTTCATAAAAAGTCGACAAGTTGGGAATGTTATAACATGTACTTTTGGGGTGAGACTAGGGTGCTTAACATTATAAGGAGATTATATTATGATTTGTTTTAATCGTATGATAGTCGCGTGTTATATTTTAAAGTCAAGCAAGTTGTGGAACAAAAGTTAGCAAAGATCATCACAAGTTACATTCATAAATATGCTGAAAATTAGGTCAAATGTAGCTCACTATTTCTCTCAATGTATATGGAATTACGGGATGGTATATCTACCTAATTGAAGATCTATGAGTCTAGTTTCTAACGGGATTAACCATTCATTGATGAAACATTAGAGTAGAGAGATATTCACGTTTTTACGAGACTGGTAGGTGACAAGTAGGTGCATCACCTACTTGCCAAAAGGAGAGGCCTCAATTAAAAGCTCCAAAGTCGACCAAGAGGGGAATTTTAAGGGCTTATCAACTCATTTATTTCACCCATTTTTCAGAACAATAAAATAATATTGAACCCCTACAAATCCTCCCCAAAAATTCTACACAAACCCTAGGTTATTTCGGGTGTTACGATGTGATTCTAGTGCCGAAAAGCCCGGTCAGCTTGCTAGTTTCTCTTTCTCCTTCTTTTAGCTGCATTGGGGGACTGACTTTAGATGTAGAGGGACTAGATTTTGTGTGTTCTAATCATTACAAGGTAATTTTATGCTTTTCTTCTCTTATCTAAACTTCTACGAGTTGTAGCTCGATCATAACGACGAGAACTTGCGAGTTTCGAAAGAGTAGTATGTTGTTTGTGGTTGTGTCATTGTTTTATGGTTGTGCACATATTTTTAAGTTGAATTCATGGATGTTTTATATGAGAAGAGGCTTAATTATGTACTGTTGGTCGCGTTTCTCGATTTGAAAGAAAAGACAAGTCGGAAACGTATTTTAGTAATCTGAAAAATAAGTTTTGAGTTGCTGAACTTTTGGGGCTGTTATGGGGTCATTTTAAAGTTGCATTGTGGCTGTAAATTAGTAGAGATAATTGAATATATGAAGTTATTATTATTGATAAATTTTGAAAGTAAGAAGGATTTTAAAACTATAGTTTTTAGTCACAAATCGAGCTTGCCGCTCGTCGGTGTTGTTAAACTATTTTGAAAGGCTTATTATGAGTATTGTTGATGTTGTTTGGGCTGTTCTTGGTTGTTGTAACTTGTGGGAAGTCATATAAACAGGGAAAGTGTTGTCCATTTTCTCGTAGAATAAAATGTGTCGTTCAAATGCGATAAGTTATGGCATTCATATTATGATGATAGTGTTGTTCATTGCTTGTAGATAAAGGAGTTGTAGGTTAATTTAGCTTGAGGATTTGACTGGATATTATGAGGTATGTAAGGTATTATTTTCTTTTATTTGACATGATTGCGTAAGTTACATTGCCCTTACAAGGAATTCAAGGGGGCAAGTCTTTGTAAATGTACTATTCCGACGACTAAGGCCCGTTCACGAGTATAGTCATGTGAATATTGAATGGTTTGTGTTGGTCGCAGTTTTATGTATCCTTAAGGAGTAAATAGAGCCTTCCGAAAGGTCCTTGTATTTTATATGTAACAATACGTCTAGATGTTAATTAAATATTACGTATGAATGGTCTGACAAATCAAAAGCAATATAGTGTGTGAATAATGAGGGATGATTATATACAAATAGTTCAATAAGGTAGCATAATATATAGTTTGCAGAAAGATAAGAATGCTTTGACCTAAAAAAATTCCATGACTTCCGATAGTTACACGTTTGTGTTCACAAAACTGATAGAGACCCACAAAGGTAGTTACGTTGCTCTCAAGTTAAGTAAGGTTGATTATATATGAGGGTGATGCTACGTGATGATATATGTTACCTAAGGAGTCATAAACTACAAAATATGATAAGCTTATCAATAAGAATATAAGTTGATAGAGCGTAAATCCCACAACTCTTGTTACATATTGATGAAAGGATATGTATATATAAAACGGGTAGCCTCACAAGCTATGAATATTACATAGCTACAAGTATAAAGAATCATGTAATCCCCAGCAATGAGTCATGATGTGAAATAAGGATAGAAGTGCAATTTCTAAATAGTTACAACATTCTATATGGATAAATAATATAGAATACAAAGTATGACGTAGAAAGTGGCTAAGGAATAAGGATTGGTTATTGCAACGAGTTACTCACGAACTTGTATGTTTATGAATACGAGTTTATATATTGATGATTGAATGATATATTCATGAGAGATATGAAATGAATATGTATAAGACATGATCCCTACGGACAGTCGATGAACGTGTAGGTGTACATTGAATCCCTATGGACGATCTATGAACGCATAGGTGCATAATGAAGGTTGGTTATGGACGGTCTCAGTTCCACGCATAGCCAGACTCAGTATTATGATTCGTACGGATGGTCTACTATGTTACGCGTACGAGCCAAATGTTATTTATGTTTATGAGTGAGCCTTATGGACGGTCTCTTATGAAATGCGTAAGTGCACTTTTATGTTTCAATGTAGCCCTAGAGATGTTTGATCTATCTGAGGTAAGTATACAGATATAAGGTATGATGGCTATAAGAATGTAATAGATGAAGTTCCATAATATGATGGTTTCCGTTACAGATAAAATATGGGAACAAGTTCAGGTATATCATTACATGAATTAGATGTATATATGACATTAAATATTCTCGGCTAACGGGGCCTTCCCTTTTTAGTCTACATCATTTGTAAGGTAAGTTGGATAATTCAATACTTAGATATGTTATGAATTAAGGTAGGTATGATTCTCGGATCTCATTGACCCACCAGATTTCTTTCAGTATATCATGCATACATGTCATTTTGGTTTTAATTAAGTTATTCATATGTTATCTGTCTTACATACTTAGTATATTTCTTTGTACTAATGTACCATCGTCGGGGCACTGCATTCATGCCTGTAGGTTCAGGTATCCAATTTGACAGGCTCTTATCATAGACGGAATTGATATCCAACTGAGGATTGGCAAAGCTCCATTTCATCCTGAGTACAACCGAGTCTAGTGGTTATCAGATGGTCCTATGTATATATACACTTATGGGTAGGTCTGTGTCCTATGTTGACCATATTTTGATGTCAGATACCCTTAGAGGCTTTGTCGACATAGGTTCAGTATGTACAGCATGTCAGAGACCTTGACGATCTGTGTGTATTCATATTTTGAGTAGTCTCGTTGATACAACATTTGCCCACTTACAGTTACATAGTACGAGCTGGGGATATGTTGTCCCATGATAGTAATAGAAAGAATCAGTTCATCCAAGTTGGCCTATGTATGTTCTAGTTTTCGCCGAATGATCATGAGTTGCAGAGTGGTTTACTCGGGCCCATACGACACCGAGTGCCAACTACGCCTCCCCAGGTTTGGGGCGTGACGATATTAAAGCATTGTATAATTTCTAGAAAAAATTGGTTGTTTACAAAAATGCCTTCCACATTCTTTAACTTTGTACACTTTGAGGGATTTGAGGTACAATTATGTCTTTAACCATGCTTATGCAAGTATTAAAAATTCTTCCATTGCTAATACCATAATTTGCTATGTATTAGTTATACATAGAATAATACCAAATAGAATGTATAACTAATACAAAATATTAGTTATACATATGTGGAAAAAATATACCAAACAAGGGATTAGTAGTGCACAAAGCTAATGCTTGCATTATTTTTTCTAATACCTCCTGCTAAACAGTCCCTTAAAGCTTAGGAACTTCATACATGTTGGTTCCCCAAGTACACGCAAGTATACGTGACCGTCAAGTAATAAAGTAACTCGAAAGTCGGATGTCGAACCCACAGAGACTTAGATTAACTGTAAACTAAGCAAACTAAAATCAATTGGATGTCTAAGATAATCAAAAGTTGGTTTTTCTTTTAAAACTACTATTGTGAAATTTAAACACGTAACCAAGGGAGATATAGATTCCAGGGTTGTGGTCGGTTTATCAATCCTATTGAGTTCGTAATTACACCTGTTAATCCAAATTATTTATGATTTCTAGTTGACTGGATCATTAATATAAATAGCATGTTCCCATCATACGATCCATCTATCCATAATATATCAACCCTATATTCCTATAGTATTAGTCTATCAT